TGTTTGAGGTACTAAGATTGGATTTCGAAACAAAACATGAAGTCAATAAACAGACACTACTATGTGTACTCAGAGCTATGTACAATTAATTTTTTTTGGTTTTGATACATTTTCAGTTCGACTTTATATGTTGTGCACACAAAAACCTCATACCTAACGTTTATTTCTTATTTTGATAAAGGTTATCAATGTACTCGTCGGTTAAAAAACACATTTGTTTATTTTGGTTAAAATTTCAAGATTTGAAGGTTGCAAACTGTTGCTTGTCTTATCAACTTTTATATAATTTTAGCTATTTCACTGTCAAACAAATATAGAACAGCACAGCACACAAAGTATCTCGTCTCAATGCACAATCAGAACTGATGTTGTTGCTTTTCTTATGTCGATGTTGTTGCTACAATACAAATTAAAATAATTTGATAGTAAAAAATTTTTCTAACAAATTTGCTAAACAATTAACGTATAAAGAGACTTCATATACCCAACTTTTGAATAATTAGAATAAAAGTGTTTATTTCATATAAAATTTATTTAAATTACTCAATAAAAATAATCAAATAAAGTTATCAGTCAAACAAAATTATTTAGTGATCCGAATATTTTGATCTTTTTAAAATAGAGCCTACTGCATATAATAGAACTATTTTAGCATTTGGTCCACTCCTCCACACATTTTTTATCATAGCTTTACTAAGATAATTATTCGTATAGCGTGCAAGTTCCTTACAGTTCAAGCAATTGACTCGAAACGTCTTTCTTGATATAATAAGAGAAGTAAAGGGGGAGTGGGCAATAACGGGTGCTGTTATTGATGATGTTAGCCCACTCGGTAACAAATTGTGTCTAAACCTCAAATAGTAACACAGCTACGAACTTAGAACAAAAAAATTGTAGCGGTTTCTTTCACCATCATAAATTCTAGTTATAAACTCCAGTTCGAATTGTTACATTATAAATTTATAAACAGTATATTTTCATTATAATATTATCTTAAATAATTATATTTAATTTAATTTAATATATATTATATTTAATATAATTAGAATGTAAAATCTACCAAGTCTATTTGTATTAAGTAAATTTATTAAGGTCTCTGTGTCACTGTATAAAATTGCTGTCATCTACTATTAAATGTATTGATGAATGAAAGTGGATATCTTATTTGAAATATATAGTAAAATAGAAAGCAAAATAAACTTATATATAAAAAAAATATGTGACGTAACCATATACCACAATTAAATACCCTTCCATTGTATATAACTTCGATATACCCCAATTAGCGATTTTTCTGCGTTTTGCTACCACATTCCTCGCAAGAACGCGAGGAATAGAAAAGTGTGACCTAAATTCTTTCTGTCGTATTTAAATAATTTAAAAGGTCTTTCGTATTTACTGATGAACAGTCTGATAAAGTGTCAAAGAAGAATCATTATAAAAAAATATTTCTTCTGGACGCCAAATCCGTGCATTACAGAGAAAGTTTTTTATGGTTTATTATTACTGTCAGTTTCTACAACTTCTGCAGTCGGGATAATGAGAAGTCTACAGTTTCTCTGCGTGGATTTCCATTCACTTATCATCACAAAAGACTGTAGTAAGCCTTGCAGTGTTTACATGATCCTTTTTGATGAGTTCCCAAGACTTGATGTGACTTGCAATTTGCCGACATGTTTCTGAAATCGCTAAAATTTCAGCCTGAAAAACCGTGCCCTCATTAAGTACCCTAAGAAAATTGTTTATGCTTTTAGATGGCGATTTCGAAATAGCGTTGTATGGTCGGCCAAATTTCAATAAAATAACTAAAATTTTTGTTGTTCTCTTTTCATTTCTATTTGAATACTTCAAACTTTTAAATAGTTTCGTCTTTTTATAATACGCGTCATTCCGTAATACGTCGGAAATTAATATTGAAAAATTTTTAATATAGTATTTTTGCAAGAAAATTTTGGTAGTTTTGGAAATTTTGTAAAGTATGGCACATGTTATTCATAATAAAATTAGTATGATTTCTTATTTCTGTTCAAATACTAATTAAAAAATAAAATATCCGCATTTTGCAAACTAAATCTAGTTAATTACTAATCAAAATCAGTTTGTTATTATATTGTCTGGAATATATTAGTTGTTTTGTTTGATAAGAACTATAGGTATCAGCGTTAAGAATTATAAAATATTTTATTGCCAAAAAAATCTATGGTATTTATCTGTAGAGTACATAACAATATAATGACCATTAAATTAAAAAAGCCAAACACTGATAAAGTATCTCAAAGACAAACAAACAAGCATTTAAAATTGCAGACATTACATATATGTTATGTATGTTATGTCGGTGCTGCTGATATGATAGTGCATTTATGCCATGGAAATACGATTGAATTGACTTATTTCTGTTTTTGAGGCATAGACACATAATCATATTGCCCGAAACTTTTCTTCCATGCTACTAAACAGATTTTATCTAATATTATACATTTGCAAAAATTGCTTCGAAGAATAAAAACAAAAAAAATAATATAAATAATAACAGTAATAAATATACTTAGTACTTATAACATTTTTATGAGAGATAATAAATTGTTCATAGTTGAGAAGCTAAACAGTTCATTTGTGTTTAATATTTTAGAATCAATAAATTACTAAGTTTAATATATAAAACATTATGTTTTGTTTTAAAAATACTTACTAATACTTACTTACTTACTTACTTACTATGCAATGTATATTCAGATTTAATCACTCTCCGCACCGACCACATTAAACTAGTTTAATATATTTTCACGAATGAAACTAGTTTGTATTTTCACTAATGAAACTAGTTTCAGAACATGTTTACTGCAATACAACTGTTGTTGGGAAACAATGGGTTTGATTTTTAAACGTATTTTTAAACGTATTTAAAGTGTTTCTCACTTTCAAATTTAGATATGGTAGACTTGGTTTTTCGATATTCAGTTCTTAAACTTTTTTGAAAAAAATATTTCCTCAAAATAAAGTGAAGGAAACTATATCAGTGAAGGAAACTATATATATTGAATTTTACAACAAATAAAATCTAAGTCAATGACAACTTATTTACTGACATTCCAAGTGTCTACCAAGTCTCTTTTAAATCAAAAGCTATTTCACAAACAGTTAAAGAAGTTGGAAATCTGGCGATTCTCAATGTATATACCAATAGATAATTACAGGATTCTAACTCAAAATATTACACGCAAAAACAAGAGATCTGCGAAATCTATAAGGATAAGAACAGTGTTAAAATTAATTTGTAATATATATTATCTTAGGCCTACATTTCTTTATAGATTCCAGAATTATTCGGATTTTGAATGTCAACAAACTCATACTATCTGATATTCAAAATATTTTTTAAGACAATGAAATATGTCAAATATACTCTAATATATTAATAGAAAATATATATTATATTATATAAATAGAATTATATATACTATTAGAATAAATTTCAATTCAAACTGAAGATAGTATACACGATATGTGCTTCATGACGATATGTGCTAAGTGCTGGGAGTTAATCAGTTAAGTGATCGGTGGTTAGTAAATGTTAAATGATGAGTATTGGAATGCAGTGATCGATAAAGTGTTTTAAAATTTATTCATTAAATTATTTTATATTCTTAAAAGGCAATCGTGAATAGAAATTTGGAAAAACTTCTTAACCAAGGGTGGTCAATCAAAATTGTTGGTTAGTGCATAATGATCAAGGTTTCTGTTTGCAATACATGTTTATTTATGGTAGATAAGAAACATATCGCGGGTTGCACAAATATTCGCCAGGGGCCGCATGAAGCCCGTAGGCCATACTTTGGACAGCTTTGGGTGGTCAATCAAAATTGTTGGTTAGTGCATAATGATCAATGACTGTTAACAAGAAGGTTTCTGTTTGAAATACATGTTTATTTATGGTAGATAAGAAACATATCGCGGGTTGCACAAATATTCGCCAGGGGCCGCATGAAGCCCGTAGGCCATACTTTGGATAGCTCTGATTTAGAATATGATTTCTTCTCAATCGTTTTGTTGTTTCACTATTGTCTAACAGAGACAAGATGAGAAAATTTGAGTAAACTTCAAGTCTATTGATGTACCTACAACTTAACCTTTTTATTTCATCTCCTATACAAGAAATCTCTAAGTCTTGGTGTAGTTGATCGTTTGTTACATACCAAGGCGCATCACCACTAAACATTTGTAAAGTGATTTCAGTAAAATCTTTGCAATATTTCAATGTTAGAATTGTTTGCTGTATACCACAGCCGAATTGCATATTGTGAGATCGGTTTAAGAATAATCTTATAGAGATTTACTGAAATTAATTTTTAAGTAATAATTTCACTAAAATAATTTAACAACTAATTGTCAGTAGATTAATATGTTATAAAAATATTTGACTGATTTGCATGTTCAATTAATTACAAGTGATGAATTTTTCATATCTCCAATAATTTTCGCTTCCTAGCAGGCGGTAGTATCCAACATTTACATTTCAGGCAATAGTCAATATTAGTACTCATATAATTATATGGTTAAAATTCAAACAGTTTAGTAAATATAAACTTGAAACTATGAATATAAACACAAAGTCAAATTAACCTTCTAAGTATGATATATGTATATATTGCCATATTTATATACATATCTATGTATACACAATTCTACTTGTTACTTACCATTCAAAGCAGCTCAAGTGCAATCTAATCAGCAAACTAAGTGCTAAATACTTATCGGGGCGAGAGCATCGTTACACAAACCTGCATCAACACCCGAGTATTTCCTCAAAAATACTCATTTCTAGTAACGTGAATATATTTATTATATATATATATATGTATGTATAAATATAGTAGACTATTATATACACAATAATAATTAATTGATAATAATTAATTAAAAAAAAATTTTTAAAAAATTGTTTGAAAAACTGATAATATTTATTCATAAAATTAATTTATTTGCATTTCTTATTTCAGAACATTTTTACAATTGAACAACAAGGACAGTTGTAATTGCATCCTTTGGTAAGCATTAATGCATAATATTATTTTTTTTTTAAATTACAAAAAAATGCATAAAATTTATACTTAAATAATGCAATATTAGGTCATCTCCGCTCTGGCAACATTGGCTTCAATGTTGTCATTTCGCATATTTTGTCTATAAATATCTGGTCTATTTTAGAGCCTCTGTTCAAGAGCACCCCACCCACTTTTCGTTTACAGTAGAAATCTTAGCATTGTTATTCATGCATAAAATTACATTTTACTTAATTTTACATGATAATTAATGAATACATAATTATAAATCTTTATTTATAAACTAGTCTACAATGAACGTTAGTTCTTATCAACGAGGGCTTCTCTAAAGGTTTTTGAATATGTTTAAAGCTACAAATTGATATATTGATATTTATTTATTATTATTTATGTATTATTATTTATTTATATTAACGTTTGTATTTAATGCAGAATATTAAAAGTTTCTATTTAGTCAAATTGAATTGAAAATTATTTTAATAGAGAAATTAAATAAAATTAATTTTAAAATGAAAATAATTCAAATTTAAAAGGTAACAATTATAATATATGGGTTATATTAAAATTTTAGGTCTTTTGAAAGGAGTAAATCTTATTGATAAGAAATCTGTATTAACCAAGGAGCTAACATAAAGACAATTATACTCTTTTAAACTGAGTATAATTTTTACTAACATGTTTTAATTGATAAAACCAAGCTTATGATGATGATTGTATCTCCTGTGGTGCAGTTAACGAATGATATACACAGTTTAACAATCATTGCAGGAATATAAATGATAAGTAACTCTTTCGTTAATCAAAGTCCATAATAATTGCAGACCTCGTAAATACATAAGAACATCAGAACACTATATAAATTCATTAAAGATCAGGTGAAATATTCATAAAACTAGAATTGAATATATCAAAACCAACAAGTTATCATATCTTGACCTAATACTGGAACTAACAAAAATTGTGTAAATGGTTTTTTTCGTATATGTTAGCTGACGATCGAAAATTACTGTTATCAATCAACACTCTTGAGTATTTTTTTACTTTAAAATTACAATTTAGTAGCCAGTTACTCCCTTTATTAATCTAGTATAGTGCTGTGTAACCACGTTTTTCAAGAAATAGATTTCCCTGCAAAATAAAAGAATTTTGTATAAGAGAAGCTATCTGGAAAATTTGTATCGACATTTTGAAGTAGTATGACTTCAGTACAGAAAAAATCCCAGCAATATATATATGTATGTAGTTATATATATAACTATTATATATGTAACTATATATGTACATAACTATATATATAACTATATAACTTTACTGTTTTGAAACCCGATAATTTTTTTTTATTTAAAACAAAATAACTATTTGGTAAAATTATTTAAAAAACGAAAAAATAAAAACATAAAAATAAAAGCCCGTTATCTGCAATAACTTCTTTTATATATTGTTATTATTATAAAATAATTAGCAAATATCATAAATACACTGAGATCAATCAATTGTGTTATCTTCAAAGCAATTTAAAGACTAATTAGGTATATTAATAGAAGAAACAATATCACTTTACTTAAAATACCAGACCTCTATAGGTTTTTTGCAACTGCACTGTGTGAGCAGATAGGACCACCAACCATTTTGCAAAATTTGCACTTGTCAAGATTATTTATGGTCACTATAGAGAGATAATAGTTAGCGGGAATATGTTTAATTATAATAAATAATCTAAGCAGAGGTCTATTTAGGCAGTGAAACTTTTCAATATTATATTGTTGTTGTTTATAGCTATTTGGATTCCCTTAGAAGTTTAGAATTGACCCAAACCTTGTCTAACAGTTTATATTATATTATTATATTAAATGATAGGGATTAATAGGAATATGTCCAATAACCAAATCACTAATAAATCTAAGTACAGTTGAATTTAGACTAAGCAACTTGTCAACTTCTTTTTTTATATTTTTTTAATTTTTTAAGCTATTTGGATTGCCTTTAAACTTTGGCATTAATCCAAGCCTTCGCCAACAGTTTATATATTAGGTTTTCGCGTACTATGCTGGCTGATAATTGAATATATCGGAAAAACGGTTCTTCATATTTGCTTGTGGATAAATTTTTCCAATTTTGTAATTTACATTTAGAGTTATTTCTTACTCAGTAACTACTTTTAATATCTAATATTTCTGTACCAAGAATTTGTCATGGATTAAAATATCTGCACATTTTTTTAGACGAGTCTCTGAATATATTATTTATTACTGCCATTTTTAAGGTAACATCAAAAGAGATAAGACATATCCTTTTGGGTAAGCTTTTGAAGCATGAAATAGTAAATGGATGGAATAATGAATTAGAACTAGCCACTAGTTGTAATACCACCAAGTTTCACTAGTCCCAAAAATTCATTGTCATTTGACTATGCTTTGTAAGACTCTCAGAGACGACCTTAGTTAAATTAAAATATAGTGTAAATTATTTTATATTTTAGATAATACATTGTACTTTAAATCACTATATCTTTCGAATCCAGTAAAATGGAACATCAAAGAAAACTTAAAAAAATTTTAAAATAAAAGTATTTAAATGGGGTTTCTCAAACCATCTTGCTTAAGAAGGTTGTAAACAATTAACAGGGTTAAGCAGTTAATAAACATTAGCCCTTACTGGTTGAATATTTATCCAGTCTTCCCGCTTAAGAAAGTTGTAAGAAATAAAGAGCATTAAATAACAATTATAAAACGGTATAGTCTAATTGGTCATTTAAACAGATATAAAAAAATTATAAATTATTATTTATATTTAAAAATATTATATTTCATTAAAATATTTTTCCGATATTGCGACTATTTTCGATAGTTATCTTCAGGAATAATATTTTTGATCACAAATAAAAAAATAAATTATTTTCTGAAGAGTATTAAGCAAATAATGATTATAAACTAGTACTAGGTGAATTGTATATAAGCTATTCTAGTTCTTATTCTATAGATATACATTTTTTATAAATATGGATAAATTAGAATCATTTATGTATATATTTTACGTCAAAACTTGATCTATTCATACATTCAAAAGTATTAAAATCTTGTATAGCATTTTTAAAGCACCGCTTAAATATAACATAATTTATATAATAGAGCATTTTATCTGTCTATTCGGACCGATTGTATAGAATCGACTAAAAATTGTGTGAATGAATTTCGAATTTGTATAAATAGAAAAACGAACACAACTAATTTTAAACTATTTCTTGTTTACATGTAATTAAATTGTAATTTTGTGCATAATTAATTTGTTTTTATCTAATTTGCATTAAACTGAGATACTTTTACAATAACGTTTAGAGAATATCTTTATATTAAAATTTCACACACGCCCACTTCATTTATATTTCACATCACAAACTTGTTACGCGCGTTTTTTTTTCTAATATATTTTTTTTTTGTTGTAGCTACAAAAATTCCATTACCGATACTACAAGACAAGTGTTCAGGTTACGCCGATTTAGACGCGATTTTTTCCTATTAAACTTTTAAGGCAAACTTCTAACACTCGTGCTTATAAGGCTTTGTTTTTGTGAGTCTTAGATTTCAATAGAATTTTTTACGTTTCAGTTATTGAAATCAATTCATAAATAGAATATTTTTTATTGAATCAGACTGTCTAAGGTGCAGAACGTACGGTCACTGTCAAAGCTCAGACTTAAAAGGTCTTTAGGTAAGTGGGCAGACATATACTTGATTTGACAGTTTAAAGGTTCCATTGACTAAACAGAGAGAGAGAGAGAGAGATTCCAGTTAAAAACATTATAATTATGCAATTAAAATTAATTAATTAAAAAGCTTTTAAGATTAAAAATTGTACATTTACTCAATAAAAGGTATGTTAAGTTTGTTAGAATATTTATTAGGCAATAAGGTATATATCAGATATCCTTTAAAGCTTATATATATATATTTTTATATTGTATGGTGATACTTTGATAATATATATAATATTTATCTTTCGTTCTGTTTGTCAGAATGTTTATAAGTTTGTTGACCGGCTCGAATACTTTAAAAAACTATAATAGTATTTTCCATTAAAATCAGAAATTGACTTTAATCTTGAAATTTATAGAAAATTATTCCTACAGTCATCCATTTACTTAATAACTATATTAGTTTGAACTCAACAATTTCAACTTAATCTACCCGCCATTTCCAGAGACCGAGATATCTTTTAAATAAACGGGTTGTACTTTTGAACTCAACAGTTTCAAGTTAACCTCAAACCGTTGAAGAATCAAAAAGAAAATATAGTGTCGTGCGATGTTTTCAATAAATGGCTTGAAAGTTAAAGATAGAATTGTGTTTCTAATGTGTCTTAGGGATGTGAAATTTACTTGTATTAATTATTCTACAAGGATCAAATAGATTTTGTGTTTTTACTAAATTAGTAAATGTATTCGTGATTATTTTATTTTTTTTAAAAAATTAGCCAAAGTGCAGATACTAGTTCTCAAATATGGTTTTTATTTAAATTTAACACATAGAATACCTCATTTTAATGAAATAATTCTTTTTATTGAAAAATTGGTTTATTTCTAATTAATTAAATTATTAATTTATAATTTTTTTTTAGATAATTTGCATATTGAAATCACACTTTTTTGATTGTAATGTTTACAAAATCAACTGACCTACCTAACTCAATTTACAACTCCAAGTAGTTGTTCCGCCATTTGATGATTCAATTCTTCAGAAAATTTGTAAAAACTTAACAATAGTCCAAATGCCAGTCTACCCAAAATCTATGCGGAAGTATGCATTAACAGTTTTCTATTAATTTTTTTTTCTAATGTACCATATACGTAATAAGTATATATGAATATATTGTAATATAATTGTTTTTGTTGTTTTGTTATAACACAAAGCAGCCTACTCCCTACTATTAGTTCGGAGTATGTCACGACGTGAATGATTAAAATCTTTTATACGAAACTCAAATGGAAC